CCCCTGTAATTATGATATGATGATGTTAAATATGATGTTTTCAGAAAAGGAAGTTTTTTTTTGTGTGTGTGATTTCAGTTGAAGTTTGCTAAAGATTGGGTTTTCATTTATTCATTGATATACATTTTATTCCCTCCCTGCTTCCTTTTATGTATCTTGTTGCAGATTGTTAAGTGTCATGCATAGAATGCCTAATCATCATTCATGTCAGATATTCTTTTCCTTCATCTCTTCTAGTGAAGGCAGGTAATTCTTAAAAAGATCATTTTGACCTTTGATAGTCTGCAAGTAGAATTTCAAGTGATAAAAAATTTCTGTGTCGCAGTTACCACTTTGACTCATTTCATATTGCCATATTTAATATTTAGCATTTAACCGTGTACCAGTAAGTCATAGTATTGATAATGAATTAAACTTTCATGAAGCTTTAATAGTAGAATCTCATGCATCTGGCATCACTGGGGAATAAAATGTGCTGAAGAAATGGTTTTTTTGGTTTGTTTTTTTTTTTTTTCAACTGAAGCTTACTTGTTTAAGCAAAAAATCCCCCTAAAAGTTGATAAAAATTTATGTGGTCTTTTAGTGGGCAAGAACAGTTTAGCCATTTACTCTTAATGTCATCTTTCATTGTTCTAGTGTGACACAGTAGGACATAGGCCTTTTGAATGTTGTTTCCCAACATTAGGGTCTTTTTGTTTTTCTTCTTAAAAAGAAATATCCCACACTTAATTGTGATGTGCTTAATAAATTTAAATGTTTCAGGCCTTGAGTTCTTTGGTAAAACTCATAATTATGCTTTAACAGATCCAGAAACTCAAGGAGCTCCATGTAGTCTCATCCGTCATTTTTGTGCACACTTCTGCACTCAGCCTCTTGCTGTAAGGGACAGTCTTGTTCTATTTTGGAGTTAAGACTTAAGTCTCGCTCTGTAACTGATGTTCGCCAGCACTTAAACCCTATTATCCATGATAATCACTTGTTTGCTCATTATCCATGTCACTTGACTTGCCACCACCTTATACCTGACCATTAGGTGAGTTTTGTAAATCGTACAGGAGAGAAAAAAAATCCCATTTTTTTTCTTCCATAGAAGGAACCACTGGTGGATTAAAACTTCCATAGAGGGTGCCTGCCACCTTTGGGGAGACCCACAGCTCCCTGTGAACCACACATTCATAGATAGTGATGTAAAATGTCCAGCATTTACACTGAATGCTGGCAAAGATCGTGGTGTCCTAGTGACCACTTGTCATTTGCTATGGTTACTGATAACATGGGCTGCTGTTGTGTGCTGTCAAGTCAGAACCAACTCATTCATAGCTGGCTCTCCAGCAGGTTTTCAGGGGCATTTAATTGCTCGGGAGGAGACTGCCCATCCTTCTCTTGCAATATCGGTAGTGCCCTCCTTTCTTCCTTAATGGCAAATTCCACCAACATAGCAAAAAAATGTCTAACAGAAGTCTTTTTTCTCTTTTAAAGTTTCATGTTTATTTGTTTTAAGCAGTGCTTTCTGTAAAAAAAGTGAAGCACAATTGAAATATTTGAGCCTTTCTTTAATGTGCTGCTGTGACATTTGGTTTGAATCTTATACTTAAAATCCCCTCTCCCCCTTTTACCAGGATCTAATGTAAATCATCTTTCTTCCAGGTTGTACTTAAAGAAGACTAGAGGGAAGAGCCCATTTTCCTCTTGCCACAGAAGTTGCAATAGGAGTAAGTAAGGAGCTGCCAGGATATGTCTGTCTCCACAAAACAAGCAGAACAAATTTCCATGAATCAAAGCCACTAAGTATAGTTCTCAGAGATGGTAGGACATAGTTACTTTCCCTAGAAAAATACCCGAAGCACAGGCACACCCATTGGCCACCAGAAAAATTCCCAAGTAAACGCTGGTTCAAACCTGTACATTTCATTCTTCTTACTGAGCTATTACAGGGCTGGGCGTCTACTCCAGCTTCAATCTTTTTTTCTTTTCTATTTTTCGACCTCCTACACTCTTGATATTCAGTTCTTCTTACTGAGTGCTCTGACTTTATAGCCACACCTACACATACTGCCTCCATAGTGGCTGATAACTTGTGATTCAGACCCATAAGAAACATCTGTAAAATGTATAGGATGATTAGATATCATCCTCTGATTAATTATGGCAAAGGGTGGAACACGTTAGAGTCAGCAAGCATTTTCCTTTCCCACTGTTGATGTTGCTTTCTTTGAAGTTTCATGAGTGAAATATTCTTGGGAATGATTTGTCTCATATCCCATCACTTAAGGAAATAGCTCTTGTTTTTACTAGAACCTTTTAGAGACCTTTAAAGGATACACAGCATACCTCACTGTGATTTGGTGAGAGGAAATAAAGAAAGATTATAGAGGTCTAGCAAATCAATGTTAAGCTGCTTTAGTGTTATCTCTGTTGAAATCTTTGATATGATTTTCCAAATTGCCTTTTACTAGTCTCCCAATTTCTGTCATTTGAAGGATTAATGGTTACCACTTTGTTGAACTTGGAGGGAGTTTATTAACATATTGAACACCCTATTATTACTGCCAAAATTTTCAGCTGGCCTGAAACTATTGAGCTCTGTGTTGCCCAGTTTCTCAGCTCCCTTTCTGTGGTACTCTTGCACTTATATTTGAAATGTGAGCTGCTGCTGAAGATGCATTTTGGTTACATGTGTAAATGCACTTTTGTCATGCCATGATCTTTCTGGTCGATAGGAGACTGTGGCTGACAATATCTTTAATCTACTGGAAGACCCCAAGGTATCCTTTTTCCTTAAGTAGAGCAATTTATGATAATAAAGAGAAGGATGGACACTTAGTTACTGTGTGTAAACTACTCTGCTTCACATGCATTAGCTCATGTCCACAACGTACCTGAGAGGTTACCACTATTAACCATGTTCTAGAGAAGAAGAGACCGAGTCCTGTAAAGTGAAGGGATTAGTGCAAAGTCATATGTAGCTAATAGGTGACAGAGGTAAGGCTCATATTTAGATGTTTCATTGTCTCTTATTTTGCATATATGAAATATGTTTATATAACTCTGGTTCCTCCCATTCATTGGAAGAGTTTAACTCCCTCCTCTTTTCCACTTAAACTATTTTTTTATTGAGTACCACTTGTGGGTTTTTGCTCTGAAAGTGAACATGTAAGTAGGCATTCCTTTGACTGAAAAAGATGAAATGCATTTTTATTAGTAAAAAGCATTACTGAATTGAGACTACTTATTTTTTTTGAAAAATGCTGAGAAATGGAATATGCTTGTTTAATGAATAGAATTTACTTAAGTCATAAAGGAAAATTTAAACATGTTGAATATTTTCTGAACAATATGCTCTTAGCACACACAGTCATCTGTCTTCTGCATTTCTTACAAGAAATGGCATAACATTTGAGATATATATATATTTTTTTCTTACTTTAATATCTGTATTTTTATCTTATCTGACTATACATTTATAACAAATCATACCATTAAAATGAAAAACTGGCTCATGATGAAAATTCACAAGGTAGCCCATTTTTGCTGTTTTATCCCTATCAGTGGGCTTCCTGTTTAAAGAACACTGTATATATAACCTTTTGGTTCACGGGAATATTTTCATCCCACTTCTTGTGGTGTTCTTTGCGACAGATGTTGACAGCAGTGGGGAAGTGATCAAGACGCAGTGATGCAGTGTCCCAAGAAATTGTTTCCTCAAAGTTTCAACACTAGAGAATTGAGATTTAAGTTCACCACCATATCATAAAGTGTTGTGGATGAGCTTTCTTGTACACATAGCTGTAGTCACTGTCCACCCTTGTGACAGTTCAGTGAGAGTATTAAAATGCACAGGTTTGAACTAATGTTTACTCGAGAATGATTCTGGTGACTAGTGGATGTGCCTGCACTTTTCCTGCATACAATCCTACATTTGCAAAATTATGTGTTCTGGAATTCCAGTTCTTCACAATATTACCCATAACTTGTGATCTTCACAGTTGGATGTCATAGCATAGTAACTAAAACAGAGATCATTGTTTTTCTGTTATTTACTACTTTCAGCTAAAATCTATGTGAAAACAAGAGTGACATCTCTTAGTTTATATCCTCTTCAGAATGCATCTTGTATTCGCCCTGGCAATTGTACTGCTCCAGTCGTTTTGTAAATGATCTCAGAGTTCGGCTTGTACTCTCCTGTCAGTGTATTGCTCTAGTCATTTTTAAATGATCTTCCACAATATTTTGTTTGCATGTTATAAATAAATATCACATACAGTATGTGTATGGAATGGGAAAGCTATTTTGTAATGTGTAAGGCTGCTAACTGAATGTTCTCCAGCTCATTTTCACTGGTTGCTTTCTTGAGGAAAAATAGTTTATTCCTCTGTAAAGATTTACAGCCTTGAAAACTTGGTGGAGGGTAACTGTGAGCCAGAAGGAACTCAGGAGCAGTGTCTTTGGCTTTGCTTATATGTGATATTGTATCCATAGGGAGCTCTGGAGGTATGGAGGTACACTGCCTACTTAAAAGCATATGGTTCAGATCCACCAGGGCTCTATGGGAGGAAGATAGACAGTCTCCTCTCGTGCAGTGTACTGCCTCTGAAAACCCTTTGGAGGGTCAGCTATGAGTCAGTTCTGACTTCACGTACATAACACCTCTGTGTGTGTGTGTGTGTAGTATAATTTTTTCTTTTATTATTATTATTATTAATTTTAATACACATTTACAGACGTTTTGGATTTCCATTCATTCATTGCCGCACTTTTCTCCCTGCCCACTCCTCCCCTCCAGTTCGCTCCCCTATCAGAAAAGAAAAAGAAAAAAAAATTCTTTCATTGGATGATAAAAGTGAATTTTTAGAACATGACTACATGATTTATATTCTCTAAACATAAAGTATGTACTTATTTTTAAAGACTTACATAAACATGTCGTGTTTTGTGTGTATTTAAAAATTTGTGGGTACCCCCCCTTGTTATCTAGAATCCGTGAAAGTTTGCAACAGCCAATGAGTGTTCTCATCATTGAAGCCTTTTATGGGGGCTCCCATAAACAACTGGCAGATCTTCTCCATGAAGAGTTAGAAGACTGTGTCCTTTATACCCTTCCTGCAAAGAAGTGGCACTGGAGGGCACGGACAGCGGCTCTGTATTTCTCTCAGAATGTGCCCACCAGTGAGCGTTACAGGTAATTAGAGCTTAGGATGCACTTTCATCTGGGTTTTAATCGACCTCTCAGGAGGTTGTTGCTCCTGTTTGTTGGAAGCTTTGAAAAACCTACCAACTAGTGAATTGGTCATTTGACCATGGTAGAGATTCTTAAAGAGACAGCAGAATATCAGAGTCCTGACTCTATAAGGATATCTGTCAGTAGTCAAGTGGTTTAAATTTTGTTCATGTTTGTGGATGTGTGTGAGAATTTTTTGGCCTAAGATTTGAATTGAACTTGGACCTCCTTTGGTAAGTATGCTATTTCAGCTCAGTTTATGGTTTCTGATAGGTTCGGGGAACTGGAGTTGAAAACAATAGTTATGGCAAATGTCTTTGCCCTTTAGGCCTTAAAAAAGTGCTGCGGTAGATACAGACATGGAAGTCAAATAAGACTAGAATGGACAGACGTGTTGATTTTTAATATAAGAAACTGCAGATATCCTTATGGAGAATGGTAACTTCTGACTTGTTTTTGAAGGATGGGTGGCTTGGGTCTCAATTTTAAATTCTGATCTGAGATGGAAACTTGTATATTACTGGATACACTGAAAAGAGGGATAAAAAATACTGACTACATTTGTAGGGGTAGACAAGTAGGCTAGCCCTCTCCCACTACCATGGAGGCCCCAACAGTCATACTCACTGCTGATTTGTGCTGCCCCATGTCTTGTGATTGTCGTTTACATCCCTGCTGTACCTTCCTCTCTGAGCCTCACACTGTAGGATTTCACTGGTTTAGGAAGAGGTGAAGAGTGCCAGGCTGGGAGTGCATGGAGTTTGAGCAGACAGGTTGTAAGAGGAAGCTGCGCAGGTTGCAAGCCTGAGTGCTAACCTTGGCTCCAGCAGCCAGACCCATCTGTTGTTTCTAAGGTGGAACAGCCACCAGGGACAGGGAGAGCATTTCAGTGGAGGCTGCTGTTCTTAGTGGTGTTTTGAGGGATTCAGAGAAAAACCCATTTGGTGTTAAACGTTTGGTGTGAATCATCTCTTGAGAATGGAGATTGTCAGGTGGAATTACACTGAAAACTCAAGCCGTTCCACTTGGGATTTATGGGTTAAATATTGTTCTGGTACATATTGAAAATTTGATATTTTAAAAATCTTTTTGTGATTTAGTGTTTTATGCTTTTATTTAGTATATTTTGGAAACTGTATATGAATGTGTGTACATATATATTATATATAATATATGTAATATATAATATATTCTGGGGCTTCGTCTGACATACTTTGGACATGTTGCCAGGAGGGACGGGTCCTTGGAGAGGGACATCATGCTTGGGAGGGTGGAGGGACATCGCAGGAGGGGAAGACCCTCTATGAGATGGATTGATTCGGTGACTGGGGTAATCGGGATGGGTGTGTCAGGCGGTGCGGTTGGCGCAGGATAGAGCAGGGTTTAGGGCTGTTGTGCATAGGGTCGCTATGAGTCGGAAACAACTCGACGGCACATAACAACAACAACAACAACATATACACATATTAATATATATATTATATATACACATATATATACACATGTATTATATATAATATATATTATTTTATACTGGTTTACTTACAGAGTTTTTATGCATTGTTTTTCACACTGGATCTTTCCCCTTTCCTTTACAGACCCTCCCCCATCAAAAGATCTGAAGTATATTTTGTATGTTTTGATATCAGCTAGTAAATATTATTTGTTCAGCAATAGTATGAAAAACTTTAAATGACTAAATGAAATTTCTAAAACTTTCTGTATTAGATTTGACTGTTTTCATATGTGCTATGTTTTCCTGAAAACACCAATTGTCTTGTTTTACTTGACATTAGGTATTATGGCACAGTTTCTTTTAACACCTCTACTTGCAATAATAAATTGCTACACCTATCTGAATCCCAGACAGACATTTGTATATCTGCTATTTTCATTTTGATGATTGAAGTTTTCTGTGAGAACTGTGAGAACTACTTGTCAGTAGCAAGCAAACAAATACTTCTGTGCACTTGGCTCTGTACCTCCTCTGAGGTCAACACATTTGAGGATGAATATCTCATTCCTCTTTGAAACAGTAGAAAATTTTACTTTCTCATGACCATGACTAACAGTAATATCTGTGCTCTCTGATGGGGAGCTATTCAAACTGAGTCATTAACCTTTAATTTACAGTTGTTTTGACCAGTGATAAAATATTTACTCTTACTAAGTAAGTATTTTTAAAAATTTTGTTGTGTGATTGAATTGGAACGGACTCATAGCTGACTCTTGGTGGGTTTTCAGAGGCTGTAAATCTCGTGGGAGGAGATTGCCATCTTTCTCACATGAGTTACTTGGTGAATTCTAACCATGTGCCTTTAGTTTGACAGTGCAGTGGTTTCAGAAAAATAGCAGCAACTTTGAAATATAAAGTAAGTTAATAGTGTTTGATCAGCCCTCCAAGAATAACATTTACTTATTTTAGGCAAATCTAATCTCAGTAGACACATTTTGAAGCTTGAAAAATTTTTGCTTTCCAATTACTTATTCTGTTTTTGCATTTAGCAAATGCAGTAATCAGAATTTATAACAGTAAAAATGGGGACAAAAAACCCCTGAAACCAACAACTCTATATTGCCTAGTAATTCAAAATTACATTGTACAAATAGGTTTGTGTCTGAGAAGAAAGAAGGCATTGAATATAGGTTTATATATTATTTTCCACAACATCTTGACATATAGTTGCTACTGTTACAGATTTTTTTTTTATCTAAAAGTATTTAATTAAAGAAGAAATGTATTAACCTGGCGAGCTCTGGTGGCCTAGTGGCAAGAAGGTGCGCTGCAATCCCAGAGGTGAGCAGTTCAAATCCTCCAATGCTTTGCTGGAGAAGGAGGAACAATCTCCTCCTGTACCAGTCAAGTCTGATTTGACGGTGTACACACACACACACACACACACACACACACACACATAATAATAATAATTAAAAAATTTAAAAAATGTCTTAACCTAATTAGTTTTATTCTCTTATATTTTTTAATAGATGAGATAATACATTGTGATTAACATTGGAATAGCTCAATCTTTTTAATAGGTTACAAAAGTAAAACAAGTTCTTTTTTCTTTTTTTTTCCTTTCTTTAAAATGATTGAGTATTATGGTTAGCACAGGAATCCAGAATTAAGGTTGCATAGAGAAGTGTACTCGGGGTACGGGGTGGGGGGGAGGGATGTGGGAATTGTATATTAATGAAGGAATTTTTTTTCTCTTCGGAGGGGGAAGCTAGCTGGTGGGGAGGGGTGGGCAGGGAGAAAAGTGAGGCAGTGAATGAATGGAAATCCAAAACCTCTGTAAA